GAAAATGGTCCTTTGATACTACAAGAATAGACCCAGCTCTGCATAGCTGGCTAAATGACTTAGCAGGATATTTTTAATATAAACTTTCCCTGAATGACTCATTAGAATGCTAAAGCTACAAAACATTTGGGCTAAATTGAGTGCAGAGTGGTGTCAATATTAGAAACTTCTCCAGAAGTTAGCAACGAAAGTTTGGCTACCGTCTCTGCTTCCCAGAAATATGAAAAAAAAAAAACCTTTTACTTGTACTTGTGTTTTGGTAAGTTTTAGCCAAACAGAGGTTTAACTGTATTATTGGGAGAGCTTCAAACTAGCTAGCTGGCTAGTATGTCACACAGTATTACAAACATAAATTAGCATTAGCATTACCCTCTATGGTGGGAGTGAAACATTACTGTGCTATCTGCTTACTTCTTCTTTACTTTCTTCTGAACTTCTTACATTTAAACGCTCATGTCAAGCTCCTCTATTCCCCTAATAGTGAGGAATATTAAGAGATTCTCCTGAGACAAAGAAAAGCCATTATTGATTAACACATTTTGCTTGTGGGCTGCCTTAGCAAACCCGCTAATGAGTCACATATACAAACAGACGGATGTCATTTTGAGGTCACTAAACAACCACGCTTTCTGGTTGACCTCATAGGCCATTAGCCTGCAGGGTTACTACAGAAAAGGATGCGAAAGTGTGCTGGCTCCTTCCCCAGAGGCATTACATACCCAACGGTGGAAACCACTGGGATACTTGCATCATGTTTGCATCATTTACTGGAGAGCATTTACTTCTTTGTTGTTAAAGACAGTTGCTCATGGCTTTAGAGCTCCAGCTATTAAGAACTTGTTTACCTGATAACAAGCCAAATCACAGCTTTTCCTTATTACATTAAGAACAATAACATGAAGAAGGCAATTACAGCTTCATGGTTTCTTTAGCACAGTCTGCATCTTTCACAGTTAATTTATTAATATGAAGTGGGACAGTAGATAGTACAGCAATTTCCTTCAAGTTTCTCCACTGAAAAAACAGCTTAGACCAGCGTGAATTCCATACCATTCCAGCATATCAGCATCCAAAACACAACATATGCTGGTTTTGCTTGTGACCTGCCATGTTGGTCTATCTGTTTTATTCTAGCAGGTTTAGGAAGTCACGAGATGATATCTATTAGTGACATCTGACATCTATTTGTATATCCAGCTTTAATCAAGTGGCACTTTGTCTTTCTACTGTACTTCTGTATGCAGTGCTGGAGTGGGTTATATGAGACTGGACACATTTTGGGCCAGTTACCGTAGGCTATATAAACCTATGCACATAAAAACACAAACTGTAAATTACTGTTCCTCTCAAGTGGGTCAAAGGTGTGGACTTGAGTCATTTGGCTTGGACTCAAGTCACGAATTTGAGACTCGACTCAATATAATCAAAAAAGACTTACGACTCGATTTTGACTGGAACACCAATGACTCAGACTTTGACTCAGACTTAAGCCTCATGACTCGGAAAGATTTGAAACCCAACGTGGAAGAAACGTGGAGAGTCTGACTGCGGACGGGACTCTACACTGCTGGGTACTTTTCATGTGAATGAATTTATTTCCTGCTATAAATTTGATAAATAGCAACGTCTTCAGATGTCTGTTACTGTGCTTATGCTCGGCTTATTTCATTTCAGCAGATAAGAGAAGTGTTAGAGTTCAAGTTCGATCCATAAGCTGGAAACAAGGGAAGCATGAACAGCATCAATGCGCCCTCATTCAGCTCTTAAACTCTTACTGGTGAAACTTTCTAAGCAAACGGAACATTTTCCTCAAGAAACAGCTCTCTATTTGATCAAATTTAACAGCTCTGCATTTAAAACAAGCGCAGCATTCACCACAAAGCTGAAATTGACTTTTTATTCGCCAGCTTCATATTCGAATTTGGCGTTCCACCTTAAATGGTGCAGCAGTCAGATGCCGGAACGTAACTGCTGCACCATTTAAGGTAGAACAGAAAATATGAATAACAAGCTGCTGGCACATAAAAGTCAACTTCTGCTTCGTATGTTCACTATCATTTGCTGCCTTTTCTGTAAACTTTGTTCAGCTCTGTTGGTTTGGTTTCCATTATCTTCTAAATTCAGTTCAAACTGGCATTTATTTTTAGTTTGCTAAGTTTTAATGACATCACCTAGAGGTAACATACAAAGACAAAAACAAAAGCCCTAAAACTGAACCTTGTGGCACTCCACAAGAAATGTTAATATTTTTTGAATTAATGATTTCCCAATGAAACTAAGAACTGTGTATTTGTTAAATATGATTTGAACCATTTTAATGCCTGAGAGGCCTACGCAGAATTCAAGATAGTGGATTAGAATCTTGTGATCACTGGTATCAAAAGCTGATCCAATAAGACCAAAATAGAAGGAAAAATAGAAGCATCAAGGCTGGGCCTTGGTCATGAACCAATGCTGTCTCAGTACTATGGTTACAACGAAAACCTGATTGCAGCTTCTCAAATAACTTGTCTAATATTAGCATTTAACTGTTCTAAAAGTATTAGGTATGGAAGGCTCCATGCAACTGAAGAACATGAAGAAAAAGAAAAAAAGGAAAAATTCTGTTCATTTACTTAATTTAAATGCACAAGCTAACTAGCCTTTCTCTGCTAAGTTAGCTGTTAGCTAGCAAAAGTTCTTTATTAGCATTAGCATTAGCATTTTTCTGAAATGAAAGAAAGTGATGGGATTTGCTGTCTGCTTTTCTCTTCTCTGTGCTTTTGGAAGAAGGCAGTGTCGTATACTAGAGAAAATACAGTTACAGGTTCAGCATCTTGCATTTTGCTAAATTGCTGCCATCATGCTAGTGTTTTACATGTGAACAGTTACTGAACCACACCCAGAGATTGAAGAGCTTCTCTCTTTCTGTAGAAGTTCAAGCCTGGGTTCATGTACAACTTCTGTCTACAGACAGATTATCCACCTGGGCGGTCGGTTACTGACTGGTATGACACTTTCATTTCTTTCTTTTGACAAAGATCCTCAAAGCTAAAAGTACATGTCATAGATGCTGACATTCAAATGAGCTCTGCTGTAGCTCCCGGAGGCAGACAAGTGTCTCCCACATTTGATCATAAAAATATCCCTAAAACAGAGCATCCTTTTCTGTTGTCCTGCCTAATCTCTCTCGGGAGATATGCATGTATGACTCTCTCCTGTCCATCTGCGGTTGGCTTGGTTACAGTAGGTGGCCCTGCGTTTATTCTGTATGTACATGACAGGCCATTATAGCCAAAGTACACAATGTGTCAGTGTGTCATGCAAATAATGTCAACACACCATCACACTTAGAGAGAGAGAGGGACAGAGAGAGAGAGAGAGGAGGAGGAGGTCCTGTTAGGAGGTACTGTTTGAATTGAGTACAACTTAAACTCTTTGCGTGAGGGTCCAGTCATTTCTGTTTAGAGAACTGAGAGCAGGGGCGTTGTTTTGGGTTTCGGATGAGTGAAGTGGGGGAAGCACACACACACACACACACACACACACACACATACACACACACACTCACTAACACTACAGAACATGATATTTAGCTTGCAACAAAATCAAATACCGTATGGCAACAGGTAACATTAGTGTAACCATGAAAACAGGTGTACTGTATCCAAGGAAATGGATGTAAGACATAATAACAGTAACAACACAAATAAGTGTTGTGTAACTGTAGAAAAGGGTGTAGTGTATCTATGGAAATAGTTATAGTGTATCCAAGGAAATAGGTGTGGTGTATCCACGGAAACTGGCATAATGTAACCATGGAAGTGGGCATAGTGTAACCATGGAAGGGAGTATGCCATAACAATAGAAATAAGCGTAGCGTAACCATGGATATGGGTATAGCCTAACCGTAGAAATTAGTACAGTGTATTTATGGAAATGGGTATAGCGTTACCATTGAAGAGGTTGTAGTGTAACAATGGAAATGGGTACAGCGTAACCATAGAAATACTGTTGGTAAAGCCGTAAGCGAGAAAAGGTTCTCTCAGTTGTGGAGATTTACGCATGCTCAGCAGTCAGAACAACCGAAAAAATGTTTTTTTTGTACATTACTTGAGCCAAACGCTGCAAACTATTTACGTAATATTTAGTAGATTTTACCATAGATTTCAAACATGTTTTTGAAACGATATTTAACCTTCAGTTTTAAGCTTTTATGTCTCTCTCCATTTGAAAAGTTGGAACCCGGTCATGTATGCGACATTGCCAAGATGGCTGCTGAGTGACTTTCTTATAAAGACTTGGGTGTAGTGTGACCATGGAAATGGGCATAGTGTACTAATAAAAATTAGTATAGCATAACCATGGAGATCTGTGTAGTATATCCATAAAAATAGGTATAGTGTAATGATGGAAATGGGTATATGGGTATACGGAAAAAATGGGAATAATGTAACAATGGAAATCGGTATTGCGTATCTTAGGAAATGGTTGTGGGTAATTCATGGAAATGGGTATAGGGTAACAATGGAATTAACTGAAATGTATCAGTGGCAATGGGTACAGTGTATGCACGGAAATGGCCATAGGGTAATAATGGAAATGGGTTTAGCGTATCCACCGAAATGGGACTAGCATAACCATGCAACTCGGTGTTGCATAGTCACAGAAATGGGTGTAGCCCACTGGTCCATTTATCCGTGGTCTAGATGTACTTCAGATGGATTTTCATCAGTCAGCCCATATTATAACTGTATTATCTAATTATTTGGATAATGATAGCTGGGCAGTAAGAGTAGACCTGCTCTATTGACACTTCCCCCCACAACCTCTAGATTCATCTAAAAGAGGGACAAAAAAAGTCCCCCACCTCCAGTGGAACCTACACTTATGCCTCAGTGTTATATCTGTTATGCTACTTGGCAGAAACTGTTTCCTGTTCAGAACTCATTTGTTTCTTCAAAGAACGAGCGAAGGTGAAAGAGGATAAAGAGAGAGACAAACAGAAAGTGGAACCTCACCCACAGTGGTGAAGACCGTGCAGCAGAAGAAGAGCGAGCCGTAGAAGTGCCACCTTTCAGGCCTCTGAGACCATGCGGCCTTGTAGCTATTCAAGATCCTCTCAAGATCTTGGCCCACGTCGTTCAGCAGAGCGTCTTCAGGCTTAGCTGGTGGAGAAGAAGCTCAGAGTAAGAAAGTGATCCACAGTTCTTTTAAATAAAAGAACTTTCTCTGAACCTGCAGGGTTCGCTGACATATCACAATATCATAATTATAATTACGCAATTGTGATTTGCCTTGCAATTTGCCATAAACACATCGGTGAACCCTTGATGTGACATTTAAAGAGCAGCCTACGTTGTATTGTGGGTTGTGTGGTTCTTCTTGCCTCGTTCTCACTTCTTCCTAACACCAAGGTCCAGTCCCAGTTCTTATTTTTATCCCTACCCCTTGTTTCTTGTTTTGGAGTGTCCCCTTGCCCCTTGGAACTGAGTTACAAGTTGTAGTGGTTGAAATCTTCCATACGAAATGGGACCCTTAAATAAAAAGAGCATTACTTCATTAACAGGCTACTAGTGCTGCTCTGTAGGCGACCCTGCCAGTCTGCAGTGATAGCAGAGGATGGCAAAGTTCAGCAGCCTCACTGCTGGGCTTTAGTTACATTTAGGACATCATATGCCTTCAAAGAGGGGCAATTATTCATTATTACCCACCCCTAATTCTTCAGTGATATGAAGCCGAAGTCAGATATTCGCCAGCTTCTTGTTCCAATTCTTCCGTTCCACCTTAAATGGTGAAGTAGTTACACTCTACTGCTGTACTGTTTAAGGTGGAATTAGAATTTTAGCTAGCTAGCCACCAAGACATCAGCATACTATTAGCAATTTTGTAAGCTTGTTATGAAGAAAAGGACCAAAATACACTAAAACAACATTAAATATTAAAGATAATACAATGATTATCGTAATTCTTAATGGAGAAAATACATTTGTGGGTTTCTTTGGTCACTTGTGCAGCCATCTTGCCGGTTTTTCTTTGTTTCTCGTAACACTCTGTTTGCAGTGTTTCTGAAAAACCTCCATTTGGAGAGGCATGTAGCCCTAACACTTCACCCTACCCCTCTATCTCAACAAGAATCAGGACACCCTACTCCTAGACATGAATGTGCAAAGCAGAGGGCTAAGTGGTAGAGGCGAGAGGTGAAATGGGATTGGGCCCAAATCTGCTGTGCAACATTTCAGATTTGGCCAATTTATAGATTATGATTCGAACTATTGTGATTGTGAAGTATAAATATCGTGATGACGCTTCACAAGCGATGCAGTGTGCAGCTCCTAGAAGACGTTTTCCTCATATTTCTTATAAAGTATCATATTGTGATTGCACTGCTGCAATATATTGGAAACACATTAAGGAACCATTGATGTGGCTTGATTAAATATCTGCCCTTGCAAAATTATCACCAAATTGTTTTATGTTTATTGAATCACATTCATGTGACTGGATCAGAAACACTCATTCTACACATCTGAGATTTGATTGTGCTCACACAACACAATTCCAAATGCAGTGAATGGATCAGGGCAGGGGTCAGCAAGGAGGCTCTTTTATGCCCTGTTGTGGCTCCACAGCAGAATTAGATTTGTAAGTAAAAATAAAATAATCCTAAGTCGCTTAGTCACCAGCTTCTTGTTCGAATTTTCCCGTTCCACCTTAAATGGCGCAGCAGTTACATTCTGGCGCCTCAGGCACCATTTAAGGTAGAACGGGAAATTCAGAACAAGAAGCTGGGGAACGAGAAGTGACTTCAGCCTTGTAAAAAATCGAACGTTGAGAGAAATTTTAGAGAAACTATTCCACTTTTGAGGCAAAGTTTCCTGCTGGAGATGTGAGAAAAGTGGCTAAAGCTCAGCTACATTTTACAGCCAAGATGGTAAAATGGACATAAAATGTTGTGGCTCCCAAGGTGGTTTAATTTTTGTTAAAAAAACAAAATGGCTCTTCTTAACATTTGAGATCATGACATGACATCATGACATGAGATCATGACATGAGATCAGTCGCAGAAATATGTCATATACATAGAACATATGTTCTCTGTAGATCAGGGGTGCACAACTCCAGTGGGCTGAGTAGATGTAAAAGTACAAATACGAATTACTCAGGAGAGTAAAAATCCATTCAAAAGTGGTAACATTTTCTTCTACACTCTAGTTTTAGGTTCTAGCTATTAAGAAGGTAAGTGCTAGGTAATTATTTTGGCTAACATAATGGTAAGTTCCAATACATTTTAACTAAATTACACTGAAGCAGCCGACAGGATGTTCTGTAAAACGGGGTGAGTAATCTGACTGTGTAAAATAAACAGAAACACCCTACAGGTTCTAGATATTGATAAAGTATCTAGTAAAATATTGCAGAATTTAATAATTACTTGGAGTAAAATTTCACTATATGTCACATGTGTAAGCAGGAGAGTAAGCAGTACAACGACCGTGAAAACCACTGCTTTTTCACAGCCCAGATTCAGTTTCAGTTCTAGGTAATAGACAAATACATACTGTATGTTTATCCAATATAACTGCCTGCTATTTTTTTCAGATCTACTTTCCTGCTTAATCGTGCGAAATTTGTACTCACCATGTTGCTTCAAGCTATCTAGTTAAATATTATAATAATAATACTTATTAACTTAACATAGAGCCTGTTCATTTCAGGGTCATTTAGTTAGACTGTCTGGTTACTTATCTCCTTTTTACCTAATATAATTACACTTAGCTCAGTTATAATCTAGAACATGTTTGGCATTTCAGTGTTATTTACTTACAGGGGAACTCCATCAGCTTTTCAAAATTTCTGCATAATTCAGTGTTTGAGATGTAAACAAAGCCATTCAGAGTGGTTTGGTGTGAAATGCTCCGATCTAGAGAAACTCAGTGGTAGTGATAGAAACCAGGGGACGCCATGACTACAACACAAATATAGACATTTTATTTACTATCCAAAACCACCAGTGAACCAACACTGTCTTCTGAATTTTATATGGACTGTTGATGATGAAAAATAGTGGAAAATCTGAAGTAATAAGTTTTCTTTAGGGACTATTTTGCCTCACCACACCCTGCATGTATCCCTCCGCCATGAATGGATTTTATGGTAAAAATCTTCTCGAAATTGTCATAAAACAATGTCTCAGATATCAGGCAGTGAATTCATAACCATTTCATGTAATAACATTCTGTGAGGGAGCTTTTAGGGGTGGACGTCTGGTTCCTATCACCACCACTTTGAACAATTCTGACTCTGTAAGTTTCTCTAGAACAGAGCATTTCACACCAAACCACTCTGAATGACTCTTAATTATGTAGATCATTTTTGAAAATTCCCTTTTAAATTGTCTCGGAACTGGGACTGTAAAAGAAAGCATTACCAAAAATGTTATTTGGGGACAAATTGATACCCACTGAATTAAACTCATCAGCTCATTAAGAACCTACACACTTAGAACAGATGGTTCATCAAGGGTTCTTCAGAAAAGGTAATGGTTCTGTTTAGAACCATGAGTTCTATTTCATGCATAAATGGTTCTGTGCATGGTGAAATGTTTTTTTCAGATTGATGGAGAATGTTTTGTGGTTCTATGTAGCACCAAAAAGGGTTCTTCCACTGTCACAACCTTGATAGAAATAGATGCATATATAGAACCAGTAATAAAGTAAAACCAATACATTCTCAATCAATCTAAAGAACCATTTTTTGTGCAAAGAACCATTGAAGCATGCAAATGGTTCTAAACAGAACTCATGGTTCAAAAAAGAACCGTTGCCTTTACTAAAGAACCCCTGGAGAGCCCTCATTTTGAAGCGTGTGATGCGGGTTCATTACCGGAGTTGTTGCGCACCGTCTCCACCACCGCTCTCACGAACTCCCGGTATCCCTCGCGCGTCCCGTTTCCATTGCTTCTTCCCTCGATGGCGTGGAAGACCGCGGCGCCCAGCAGCGCGTAGCAGACCAGGGAGAGGATGAGGATGGCGTGGGGCAGCAGCGCCACCGCGCACGCGGGACCCCGCCGCTTCTGCTCCGCGCGCATCGCCTTGGATAGTCCGGAACGCGCACACAGGCACAAAAATACACAACAACGCGTGCGCTTCAAACGTAGCTGCTGCGTCCTCCCATCCTATCAGCGGGGAGCAGCGGGCAGCACGTGTCCTGACCGTGGACTCCTTCAGAAGCGCTTATAAACAGAGTCTCGGACCATTTTCTCATTGACCGCCCTCCCGACCGCGACAGGTGTGCGCGCTTTGTGCGTGAACGCGCTCCAATAATTCGCTATTCAAAGCGCGGAATGCGCAAAGGCGGGGGGGCGACCCCTCCTCCACCTCCTCCTCCTCCTCCAGCGCAAACTGACATGACTTGCTCGCTCGGAGGTAATGTGTGCGTGTGTACGGTTGCTCCTTGCCAAACACTGATTGCTTTCACCAGAAGAGCTCGTGCAGAGCTGCTGCAGGTTAGCTGCAACCACTGCGCTTCCTGACATGAAACAACACACTGCCGTATCCTGTTCTTCGCGCATTAGAGCTGAGAGTTGGGTGGTTCGGTGTTGAATGTTCATACAGTTCCTAGAGTCTCACCGAGTTGAACTGCGCCAAACTGCTAGAAAAAACAGCATATGTAGTGTTTTGGATGCTGGCAATTAAGCTGTATTGAGCTGTGTTAAATTGAACAGGATTGAGCTGTGTTAAATTGAGCTGGTTGGGTTGGATTGAGCTGTGTTAAATTGAGCTGGATTGAGCTGTGTTAAATTAAGATGGATTGAGTTGAATTGAGCTGTGTTTAATTGAGCTGGATTGAGTTGAATTGAGCTGTGTTTATTTGAGCTGGATTGAGTTGGATTGAGCTGTGATTAAGATGGATTGAGTTGGATTGAGCTGTGTTTAATTAAGATGGATTGAGTTGGACTAAGATGTGTTTAATTGAGCTGGACTGAGCTGTGTTAAATTAAGATGGATTGAGTTGGATTGAGCTGTGTTTATTTGAGCGGGATTGAGTTGGATTGAGCTGTGTTTAATTGAGCTGTATTGAGTTGGTTTGAGCTGTGTTTAACTGAGCTGGACTGAGCTGTGTTAAATTAAGATGGATTAAGTTGGACTGAGCTGTGTTAAATTAAGATGGATTGAGTTGGATTAAGCTGTGTCTAATTGAGCTGGCTTAATTTGAATTGAGCTGTGTTCAGTTGAGCTGTATTGAGTTGGATTGAGCTGTGTTTAACTGAGCTGGACTGAGCTGTGTTAAATTAAGATGGATTAAATTGGATTGAGCTGTGTTAAATTAAGATGGATTGAGTTGGATAGAGCTGTGTTTATTTGAGCGGGATTGAGTTGGATTGAGCTGTGTTTAATTGAGCTGGATTGAGCTGGCTTGAGTTGAATTGAGCTGTGTTCAGTTGAGCTGGATTGAGTTTGATTGAGCTGTGTTTAACTGAGCTGGACTGAGCCGTGTTAAATTAAGATGGATTAAGTTGGATTCAGCTGTGTTTAATTGAGCTGGATTGAGTTGGATTGAGCTGTGATAAATTAAGATGGATTGAGTTGAAATGAGCTGTGTTTAATTGAGCTGGATTGAGTTGAATTGAGCTGTGTTGAATTGGGCTGGATTGAGCTGTGTTTAATTGAGCTGGACTGAGCTGTGTTAAATTAAGATGGATTAAGTTGGATCGAGCTGTGTTAAATTAAGATGGATTGAGTTGGATTGAGCTGTGTTAAATTAAGATGGATTGGTTTGGATTCACCTGTGTTTAATTGAGCTGGATTGAGTTGGATTGAGCTGTGTTCAATTAAAATGGATTGAGTTGAATTGAGCTGTGTTTATTGAGCTGGATTGAGTTGAATTGAGCTGTGTTCAATTGAGCTGGACTGAGCTGTGTTTAATTAAGATGGATTAAGTTGGATTGAGCTGTGTTAAATTAAAATGGATTGAGTTGGATAGAGCTGTGTTTATTTGAGCTGGATTGAGTTAGACTGAGAATTGACTTGCATTAAGCTGAACTGATTTGAGTTACACTGAGCTGAGTTGAGTTGGATTGTGGTGCTGAATTAAACTGAGTTGGGTTGAACTGAACTAAACTAAGATGAATTTCATTGACTTTTATTCTCTTTCTGTCATGTCATAAGCCTCAATTATACAATACAGCAATACACAAAAAAGGTTCAAATGGGCAAACTAAAGTTAAAGCAATTTACGATTACAGTGCAGGATGGGCTCTTGGACTGCACAATATACTGTTTGTTAATTGTTGTTGCAACATTGGCCTTTGCAGTACACACTCGGTACACACCACAGGAGGCTGCCATATGGAAATAAGCCCATGAATGAACCACAAACTTCCACTGTATGCTGTGAGCATCCTGAGAAACTTTAAATATCCCACAGTTCCTGTGGGTGTTCTGAAGAACCAAGCAATCTACAACCCCATTTCCAAAAAAGTTGGAACGCTGTGCAGAATGTAAATAAAAAAGAATGCAATGATATGTAAATCATGTAAACCATACTTAAAATATGACAAAAATATTACAAAGACAACATATCAAATGTGAAACTGAGAAATTGTATTGTTTTTTGGAAAAATATTGGGATGGGGGCATGTTTACCACTGTGTTTCATCACCTTTTCTTTTAACAACACTTTGTAAGCATTTGGGAACTGAGGAGACCAAATGCTGTAGTTTTGAAGGTGAAATGTTTTCCTGTTCATGTCTGACATAGGATTTCAGCTTTCCAACAGTGCTGGATCTCTTTTGTTGTATTTTTCATTTCATAATGCGCCAAATGTTTTCAGTAGGTGAACAGTCTGGACTGCATGCAGGCCATTTTAACACCCAGACTCTTTTAATACAGAGCAATGCTGCTGTGATACATGCAGAATGTGGTTTGACATTGTCTTGCTGCAATAATTAAGGCCTTCCCTGAAAAAGACGTTGTCTGGATGGCAGCATATGTTGCCAAAACATGAATATATCATTCAGCATTAATGGTGCCTTCACAGATGTCACCCATGCCATGTGCACTAATGCCCCCTATACCATCGTGAATACTGGCTTCTGAACTGTGCACTGATAACAAGCTGAGTGGTCTTTAGCCCAGAGGATACAGTGTATATGATTTCCAAAAAGAATTTCAAATGTTGATTCGTCAGACCACAGGACACCTTTCCACTTCTCAGTCCATTTTAAATGAGCTTGGGCCCAGAGAAGGTGGCAGCATTTCTGGGTCCTGTTTATATATGGTTTCTTCTTTGCGTTTTAGAGTTTTAACTTGAATTTGTGGATACAGTGATGAACTGTTTTCACAGACAGTGGCTTTCAAAAGTGCTCCTGAGCCCACGCAGTGATTTCCACTACAGAATTATGTCTGTTTTTAATGCATTGCTTCCTGTAGGCCCAAAGATCATGGCCAGCAAATATTTGTTTTTGGCCTTGTCCCTTACATACAGAGATTTCTCCAGATACTCTGAATCTATTAATGTTATTATGTATGGTAGATGATTCTTCTTTGATAGTTCTTTGCTATTTTATGTTGAGAAACGTTATTCTTGAATTGTTGCACTATTTGACCGTGCAGTCTTTCACAGAGTGGTGAACCCCTCCTCATCTTTACTTCTGAAAGACTCAGCCTCTCTGAGATGCTTTTTTATATCCCATATCATGTTACTGACCTGTTGCCAATTAACATCCCAGTGTTTTTTTAGCACTACACAATTTTACCAGCCGTTTGTTTCCCCCACCCCAACTTTTTTGGAACGTGTTGTTGGCATCAAATTCTACATGGGCATATATTATTTAAAAAACAATAAAATTTCTCAGTTTCGACATTGGACATGTTGTCTTTGTACAGTTTTCAATGAAATATAGGGTTTAAATGATTTGCAAATCATTGCATTTTGTTTTTATTTACATTTTGCAGAGTGTCCCAACTTTTTTGGAAATGGGGTTGTGCATGAACCAACAGTGGCCAATAATTTGGGCCAAAATAATGCAGGCTGACCTCAAACCTTGCTAAATCAAGATGTTTTTAATATATGGCAATGCATATCACAATCACAGTTTATAGCCGTGTAAGTGTAATATGGTATTTTGCCCTTATCGTGCAGCCCTGATGAGCTGTGGTCCCTCCAGCCAGCAGCCGTAGGTTCTCCTAGGCAGTGTAAGGCCTTATAAGCCCATGCTGCTGCTGCTGTCTCTCAGCCCGGCACCAGCGCGCCTCTCCACTGACTTCATCCCATCCTGCTCACTGCTGTCTGCTTACTGTCCTGCGAGTAAATATTTATGTGAAAGCCCTTCACACGCCACTAACGCAGGGGTCCCTTCTGTACACACTGTTTGGGTTGGCGAGGGTGGGGGTGTTCAGTGCTATAAAGAGTTACCCTTTAACACAGAAGAGTCGCTCAGGCTGTTTATTTAGATAAAGTCTGTTTGCCATCCTGTATAACTCTGCCATGAAGATGATTCTGACATGAAATTGGGCTGGTAATAGTGTCAATAATTAATATCTACTGTGAAGATAACCCTGAGAAATTATAAGAACCCACTATAAAACTGTGCTTATGATGATCATCATTGTTTATAAAATCCTTCTTCTTATCATCACACATTATAAATCCTGCCACGAAGACCTCACCATCATCATCATCATCATCTTCATAATTTCTTGTTATAAGTCCCATTATCATCCTCATAAATGTTAATTGGTATAAACCACTGTAAACCAACCTCTATAAATCACATCATCATTATTACTCTTTATAAAACCAGTAACCTGATAATTCACATTACCTGATACAAACTCCGCCATGAAGTCCTCATCATCATCATCACCCGATACAAACTCCACCATGAAGTCCTCATCATCTTCATCATTATCTGATACAAACTCCGCCATGAAGATCTTATCGTCTTCATCATCACCTGATACAAACTCCGCCATGAAGTCCTCATCATCTTCATCACCTGATACAAACTCCACCATGAGGTCCTCATTATCTACATCATCACCTGATACAAACTCCACCATGAAGTCCTTATCATCTTCATCATCA